GCTCGAGAAGGAGACCCTATGCCATTTTACACAAATGGTTGCCCAATCTCTCCTTGGAGACTTCCGTGATGCGGCACCACCTCTTCTCCCCCCTGCCCTCTTCTTTGTGGCAGCCCCTCAGATATCCGAATGCTGCTGTCATGTCACCCCTAGTGATGGCATGTCACGTTCGCAGGGGGCTTAGCCTTTGGGATGACTCAGCTCAAACTGGCTTGTTGCAATAACAGGGCTTAAGCCCACAAAGTGGGGCTCCCCACTGTTGGAAAGGAGTTTGCAGAACCTTTCCATGCCCACAGCATCGGTTTGGTTTTCGCAGCAGGGATTTATTTATTTCACTTATTAAACCAATTTATATCGCCCCCCCCATCTCACAAACAAGCGACTTTGTGTGGCACTCAAGAGAGCTAAAAACTGTGAATAAACTTCCCCCTCTGTTTTCTCATAAAAGCCATCTCCCTAGAAATCACAAGTTAGGAAAGAAACGGATTAAGGAAGCATGGCTGGAAGGTTACCTCTGAGTAAACTTGAGATTGTCTTGCAGATGCAGTTCTCTATTTTATGAGCCGACAGCTGTCTGGGGCTTTGGCACATCCTGGATAGAGTTTGATTACTATTGGTTTTTTATTGCTTTTAATCATGTGTTGTACTTTTGTAGAGGTTGCAGTGCCGGGAGAAGACAGCCTAAAGTTAGATGTAATGAATTAACAAAGCAAAAGACAAGAGACCTTAGAGGCAGGATTGAAAGGACTATCTCATGCTTGAAAACTAAGAAGGAATAAAGTTGGCTTTTTTCCAGTTCTGTCAGATAAAGTCCCTGGCCTGCCTCTCTTGCCTCTCCAGCTGACTTCTTCCAGAAATTAATCCATATTTAATAATTGAGCAAAGCTAAGTTGTTCCTGGCTAATGTAAGAAAGAGCCAAATGCCCGTGTGCCTTTTTCTGTTTTTAAGATATTTTTCCTCTTTCTGAGGCCTCCCTGAATTGAAGGACAGCCATGCTCTCAACAGCTGCTCTCTCTTTCTAGTCTGAGAAATGTCTTCTTTTTAATTTTAATTCCAGTTTTTCTCTGCACTGTGTGCCTGTTTGAGAGAGAAACTGGGGAGCAAAGCCAGATAAAGCTTTTGTGGCTGGAGATTAGCTTTCCCTCAGGATCCATCCATCTTGGAGCCATCTTTGAATGGAAGGCTGCTCTGAAAAAGAGTTTTCTTGCTCAAAGACTTTCCCTCATAATTTTTATCCCGAGATGCCGTCATCTGAGGGAAATTGCTCCAGAAATGTTTTCTCCAATTCAGTGCAATGTGAGGGCACCAGCTGAAGAAATCCGTCAGCCCTGAGGAAAGTCTTGCTTGTCCTCCTCAAAATGGCTTCCCTCCTGGGGAAGTGGCTGGCAAGCGGTTGGTTGGGATAAAGAAGCCACCAAACAAAGCATTTTAATCTGACATCATCAGCCTTTGGGGTGGTTCCTGAGGACCCTCTAGGTCTAGAATGATGTTTCCCTACAAATAAAGGGAAGGCAAAGACATGTCCTCTGAGGCAAGAGGATTTCAGAGGGAAAATGTATCTGTAAACGGCAATTGTTACTACAGACGCCCCAGGTTCCCGGCTCGGAGGCCTTGTCATCCAGAAGCGCCATCTTGGACAAAAGAGTTTCCTGAGAAACTGACCTTTTGTATAAATAAACCCCTTTTTCTAACTAAATGCAGCTCAGCTTTGCAAAGAAACAGAGCACCAAACTTTAAGCTCCAGAACTTGCCTTGAAAGAAAACCTTTCCTTTTGTGAAGCAGGAGGACAAATAAATCCTGTTTTTCCCCCGTCTAAGGAGAGTGGCAGGGTCCCTCAGTAAAGAAAGAAATCTGCTCCTGTCCTCTTTCAAAGGCTTTTCCAGCCCCATTCAGCCATATCTAGCCCTTCCTGCTCTTCCATTCAGCCTACATGGGGACTAAAGGCCTGGCTGGTTTTGCTTTTCCTTTCTTTAAAGGCCCTCGGTCCACGTCCACGTGCTTGGCATAACTTAAGTTCGGAACAAAGCGCAGAGCTACAAGAGATCAGTCCCAGCACAAAAGGAAAAAGGAGAAGGGAGGGAAGAAGAAGGAAACAGAAGGCCAGCCAGGCTTGGGGTCTTAAAGGGACAGGCTGGGCTTTGCAAGGAGCGGGGAGGGAGGGCGGGCGGGCGGGCGGCTCCCCTCGCTCCCTTCCCAACTGCAGCTTGCCCCTTGCACCCCTTGGCAGGACAGGCCAAGAAGTCACAACTGGCCTAAGGCTGCTCGGTGCCCCTCCTTCAGAGTCGAGGGAGGATTTGCACCCCAGTCTTTCCAGAGGCAATGCATCTTAGTGGCTAGGGACAATGGGAAGGGTGGCCCAACACCTCTGGGGTTGCCCTAGACCTCCCTGTGTTGCGGGTGGGGTACAAAAGCAGCCGCTGTCCCAGATGCAGCACTTCGAAGGTAGGCCCATCTGGCCCATCCCCTTCCAAGCCGATCGAGGCCACCCACCTCCGGCTGTCGTGCCTTGCAATGGGTGGCGGATGCCCACCACAGCCATGGCTCTACCACTGGCCTCGAGCTGCCCATCCCATCGGCCAAATGCCTGGCCCCCAGCGCCCACCCCTCCCTCCGCTGGGCATGGGCTTCGGGAGCCTGGGAAAGGCGCAGCAGGTCCCGTGCTAGCTCCTTGGCTCCCAGCCTCCTCTGCCAGGCCCTGGGTTTCTGCCACCTGGCAGGCCTGAGGGAGGGGAGGGGGAGGGAAGGCCGTTGTTTGGGGCCCTGAAAGGACAAGAAATGAGGGCAAGCACCCAACAAGCCCCCCCCCCCCCCGCATCAACAATTCATTCTGGGGGAAGGAAGGCAAGGCAACCATCTGGAAAGGGGGCTGCCTTTCCCCAGCCGAGCAGGAGTTCCTCTTCCTGGGGAAGTCAGGAGAACACAGAGCAGGCTGGACCCCCCTTTGTCCCTGCTGGCCGGCCCCACTACGCTTCCCTACTGCGGCCGCAACAGCTGGACTGGCCCAGCGAGAGAAAAGAGGGAAGTGAGACAGCAGAGACCAAGCCCTGGCTTGGCTCTCTTCTGAGAGGGCAGCCTTCGCTGGGGGAACCAGCCCCAATTGAGGCTGGATTGCCGGCCTCTTCCGGAGCCTCTGGGGGCTTCTCCCCTCCCTGGGCATGACCTGGATGGGAGCGGGTACCTGAAGACATTTGGGTGCATCAGAATTACAGAGGAGGAACACGGCAATTTCACGTGTGTGTGTGTGTGTTGGGGGGGGATAGCAATTTGCAAACATGGCACAGATAATGTGAAGCCTTTTTGGGGAGGGGGACCCTAGGAAACTTTAGGAGTAGAGATGTTGCAGGGGCAGAAATGCGTGTTTTTGAGTGGGGTCTGTGAGATAATAAGCAGCTGTGACCAAGGCATGGGAGTAATTGCACAGGAACAGATTAATGAGTGGGGGTTCTGGGTGGGTTGGAGATCAGAGAGTTTGTCGGCTGGCGGGCAGAGAAGTCTGGCTGAGGAGCTTGAAGGGGGTGGCCCTCGCACCTCATTTGAGGGGTTTCTGGCCCCCTGAGGACCACTCTGGTCTGGGCCTGATTGTGGCCACTCCACCTGTCGGGAAGAAGAGCCGGATACCTTTGGGTGTCCCTACAGAGCCAGCTTTCCACAACTTCCCTCGCGGAGCCTCCCTAAGCAAGGCTTTCTTTCAGCAAGCGCATTCTTCGAATGAAGAGGTGGGCTGGGTGGAAGGAGAGCTCTCAAATGTTGTCTGGAAACTCAACTTTTTTATTATCTGCAAAATAAATCCCTGGGTTTTGAGGCAGAATTAACAGGAGCTGCAATGGCAGCGAACCAGCAGGCACGGAGTTGGACCCTGTTTGTCAGGGAAGTGAGGAGCGGAAGGGATGCGCTTGGCTCCTTTGGTTGTTTTTGAGGAAAACAGGCGCCTTTGTGCCTCCAGAACCTCTGCTCACATCGAAGGAATCTATGTGGGAAAGGAATTTGGGTGCCCCCCCGTCCCCCCAGGGAAAGGCCCCGCCAGTCCTGCCTTTGCTGGTGTTGAGGGCAATCAGTCTCAGGCTGCCTTTCTGCCAAGCCCCCAAAGGAAGAGAGAGGCTGCGCTCGGCAGGGAGGGGTGGAAGCCCCCTCCCACACCCATAAGCAAGCAACGTGCTGAGCTTTGATCAGGCAGAGCAGTGATGCAACCTGGGAGCCTCTGCCAAGCAAGTGGGTGAGCTTGGAAGAACTTCGGCGTTCGAAAGACAGAGCCTGGCCGGGGCCTGAAGGATGTGGCCACCCCCTTGCAGGATGGTACCCACTGGCAATAGTGCCCGCTCTTCCTTGGGAGCTGGCAGAACCGAGCGGAGACGGTGCCCGGGGGCAGTCGTGAAAAATAGGCAAGCCCTCGTGACCCGCGTCTGACCCAGCCCCTCCCCCCCTCCCCATCCCAGCCAGATGGCCTGTGGTCAGGGATTCTGGAGCACCCTGGAAAGCTGGGGGCTGCCCCTGCCTGGACGTTATTTCCTGTGGTCTTCCTCTCCAAATGAAAAATGCTCTAATCCCCACCGCTAAGCCGCTGGGCACAGCGCAGAGCGGAAATCAGGCTGTTCTGGGGAGGGGAGCAAGGAGACCCACCCCAGCTGTCAGCCGGCACACTCTTCCAAAGCGCCACTTGCCACCTGCCTCGAGCGGCTCAGGCAGCCTGCTACCCGGTGCTCCAGCTGCAGTCAGGTGGGAAAGGAGCTGGAAGGAGGAGGGGACGGGGGACGGAAGCTCCCCTGGGCCGGCCAGTGGGCTGTTAGTGGCCGGGCTCCGACCCCAAAGAGTCCAGCCAAGGCGTTGGGAGGTTGAAGCGGCTGCAGCCAATGCCCAGCCTGGCAAAAGAGCACCCGCTTCTCTGGTGGTGGGCGAGGCGTTCACGGAAAGACCTGTGCCCGGCGGGGGTTGTTGCAATCCCCCAGCCTGGTGGGCGTCCTCCCAGGGCCTAACCCGCCCCCCCCCCGCTCTTCTCCGCAGAGATGGCGGAATACAGCAGACTGCTGGAGGAGCTGGCCGAGAACATCACCAACGAAGACCTGGACCAGCTGAAGTCGGCCTGCAAGGAGGACATCCCCAGCGAGAGGCACGAGGAAATCGCCACCGGCAAGGACTGGTTCGGCTTTCTGGAGGAGCACAACAAACTGGACAAAGGTGGGAAGGAGCGGAGTGGGGGGCAGGGAAGATTTGGGGGCTCCTGGGGGCCTGGGAGGGATGGAGGCCACCCGGAGGGGCTGCGGGTGGGAACTGAAGCGGGGAAACCGAGGGACACGGCATTCAGATGAGGAAAGCCTGCCACCCCAAAGTCTCTGCTGGTACCCTAATAATGCCAGGACCCCCCTTGGCTGACACCCCCCTCCCCCCGAGAGTGCCAGCGAGAGATTTAAATGCAGCTGGCTGGGTGAGGGGCTTGGGGAAATTGGGAGGGGAACCAGGGTGCCCAGTGAGCCCTCCCCCCCAAAGGAGTTAGGCTAGGGCCCCCGGTGCTCCCGTCTTCCAAGCAAGCCAGCTGGGCGCTCTGCCCTCTCCTCTCGCCAGCCCCTGCCTGCCTTTCGGGAGGGGAGAGGAAGGGGGGCAGGTGGCGCTCAGTGATGTCATTTGTTTTGGAGGAGAAGCTGGGGCTGTTTTCTCGGGGTTGGCTCCCTCCTCCTGGATGCCTTCACAAGAGTTTGCACGTCGCCCGCCCGCGCTCCCCCTCTGCCTCTGCACCCGCGGCCTGGCCACCCACGCACCAGCGCCACAAGCAGCCTCGCACCACCACGCACCACCCACTCAACCCACCCAAGTCAGGCGCCCCCCCCCGGAAACTGCCACCACAGCCGCAGCAGCCACGTTGCTCGCTGTTGCCCAGGGCCCCCCCCCGGGCCCTGCCCCCTCCCCGTGCCCTGAATGCGCCCGTCTCCTCCGCGCAGACAACCTCTCCTACATCGAGCACATCTTTGAGATCTCCCGCCGGCCGGACTTGCTGACCCGGGTGGTGGAGTACCGCACGCAAGTGCTGAAGATCTCGGAGGAGGACGAGGTGGACACCAAACTGACCCGCATCCCCAGTGCCAAAAAGTACAAAGGTCAGGAGACCCCTGGCCTTGGTGGGGGGCGGGGCGGGGGGGGGCGGACTTCCTTCTCCCCCAGCCCCGGCTCTTCTGACTTTGCCTCCCTTTCTCCACAGACATCATTCGGCAGCCCTCGGAGGAAGAAATCATCAAACTGGCCCCGCCACCCAAAAAGGCCTGAAACCCCAGTGTGTGTGTGTGTGTGCGTGTGTGTGTGTGTGTGCGAGTGTGTGCGTGGAGGGGCCCAGCTCCAAGGATCACTGCCACCCCCCCCCTCCACTGCCCTGGCTCAGGCGTTTTGCGCCCCCCCCCCCCTCACTCCCCTCTGCTTACGTCCTTCTCTGCCTTCTCCCAGCTGGGTGGGGAAAGGGAGACGGGGGGGCCACCCGCACGTTTCTCACCCGGGTCACTGGCTGATACATGTTTTAGGAGGCCGCTGAGGCCTGTGTGAGGGGGGGGGCACCCTACTGCTGCTGCTGCTGTTCCCCCACCCGCTGTGCTGGGCAAGAGACGATGGGGACCCGCAGGTGGATCTGGATGGACGGGGGATTTTGCAACAAGGAATGAGGAAGTGAGAGAGAGAGAGAGACGGGGGAGGGGGAGAGCAGATGGGGAGCAGGGGAGCCCCTAAGGAGCTTTGGGGCCACTGCCAGAGGAATGTCAGAGCCTGCGAGAGGTGGGACACAGCGGGCAGTAGAAAAAAAGGGGCGGAGGGTTTGCCAGGCTCTCTTGCCAGGGACCCCGCATCTTCTGCAGCTGCCCTGGGGACTCCCTGCCCGCCCCCCATAGGTGTCCCAAGGGATGGCTGCAGCCGCTTAGCAGGGTTGGACCTGGAAAGGCTGTGGAGCCCCCTCCGGCAGGCCCAGGCACAGGGCCCTCCCTCTCTGGGGGAGGGCAGGGGAGGGGTGTGGGCTCAGCAGCTCTTCCGGGTCCACTGGGGAGGACCAAGGGACCAGGAGACGGACTGGGAATAGAGGTCCGATGGGGGCGCCTGCTCCTTCCCAGCCAGACCAGAGCCCCCCAAAGCGGAACAGAACCAGGGGCCCAGAGCCCCTCCTGTCACAGACCCCCGCCCTGCCCCCCCCGCCTGTCCACATGGTGCCTTCCCTGGGTCTCCCACCCCAGTGGCCTCTCCAGGCGTTTCCACGGGTGCCTCCGTTTCTACTCCCTTCCGGTGCCTCTGGTGGGGGGCAGGGGGTGAGGGTCAGTAGACCATTTGGCCACGCTTGCACCCTGCCCTCTATGGGACGCTGGGGGAAGGAGCAGCCCGCTCCTAGGCCCATCCTACCCAAGCGCCCCCCCAACCAGCCCTCCCCCACTGGGTGCTGGAGCCCCCAAGCCCACTCCCCCCCAGGATGGAGGAGGAACCTGGCCAACTTCCTTCCTGCCCCAGACGGCCCCACCTCTGGCAGCTGCGTTGGGATGGGGGCCCAGACCCCAGGGCCCCACTGCCCTCCCCTCAAAACAGCCACCGTGTGGGGCTTACAAATGCGGGTGGGTGCTCTGCTCAGAAAGGGACCAAGCAGTTCGGCCTCACCAGGGCATCCTGCCCACCTGGTGTCCTGGCACACAAGCAGGGGCAGGAGGGCACCCGGGGAGGAACACCTGGCAGCCATCGAGGGAGAAGCCAGAAGCAGGACGGAGGCTGGTGGGTGCCGGGGCTCCTGGTGCGTCCGGCACAGAAGGGCTCCCGGCGCCTGGCCTGTGCAGAACGCCCCGGGGCCTTCCTTCGGGAAACGGCCAAGTCGCTTCTCTGGCGCTGGAAGGCGAAGCGCTTCTGTTGACTATACCTGTGTTTAGCCCCGACATCCTGTGCTCCCCGAGCCCCTTCAAGTGGCGTGACCTTTCCTGACACTCGTGTTGTGCTCGTGGTGTGCATAGAAACAGCTGGGCTAGAACAACTGTGCTTTTAACATAGCGTCCCCTCAAAGCCGCCCCCCCGCCCCCCCCATGTCTCCCGCTGGCCCTTCCCGCTTCTGTCCGCCCCGTGCAGCCTGGGTGCTGGCCTTGCGGGGACCGTGGCCACAGGGTCGGTGGGGCTGGGCAGCCTGGCTCCGTGGGATGCTTGGAAAGAGCTGCCAGGAAGGAGAGGGGCCCTTCCGAGACATGGGGGGGGCGGGGGGGGGGCGAAGAGGTCTGAATCTCAGGTGAACGTCTGCAAGAGATGAGGGAGGCAGGAAGCCAGCAGAGGCCCCCCCCCCCCCCAGGTCCCTGACCCCCCCCCCATGGCTCCAGGCTAAACCTCCCGCTGAGGCCTCTGCCCCACCCGGGACAGCCATGGTGCCCAGGAGCCCGGCTCTGCCCGCAGGGTCAGCGCTGCTCCCTGCCACCCAAGACCAACATGGAAGACTCCAGATTGCCTGAACTGGCCTTAAATTAGTATGTTTCTCTTCCAGTGTTTACAGCTGAACAGATGGCGCTGATCTCACTGCAAATTAGCACCAAGTAAAAATAGTATCTGGTGGGGCGGGCATGAGGGGAGGTGTAGAATTCAGAGCGAGTGAATTTCTCAAAATGAAATGAAGCGCAAAGCAGCTTAAAGCAGCCCTGCTCATCTTGGGGCGCCTCTGCCCCCCCTTGTCCTGGCAGGGGGTTCTGGGAGACGGGGGGGGCGGAGCGGAAGGGCCGCCTCTGGGTCAGGGTAGCTTCATGATGCCCCCGGCAGCGATGGGCAAGGGGGGAGGGTCTCACGGGAACCCCCAAGCTCCAAGGAGCGACCGAAGGCACAAATCCTGTCCTCTGTGGCCAGTGCTGCTTCCCCTTTCCTCCCACCGTCCCTGGCCTCGATGCTCAGACCGTGCTAACTGTGTGTACATATATATTATAAATATATGTATATTAAATATAATATGGAGTGCTCAGTGTTAACTTATTTTCTTTGTCAAGTGGACCAAAAAAATAATAATAAAAAAGCAAAGAGGAATTGTAACAGAATAGTTGTTTCTAACTTCAAAAAATCCATCCTTCGTCTCAGATGGCAGAATTATTTAAGAAAGAAATCAAATACGCTGCTCTGGTACATCACCGATCCACAAGCTTTGCCGAAGGGAACTGCAAGGGCCTACCTCGCAGGGCTGCGCATTAGAGCCCACGTTCGCCACGGGGCAAGGCAAGCACCCTGGTGGCACTCAGGCCGCCTTAAGCTGCTTTCCCAAATCCCAGCCAGAATTTCTTGCTGCTAAAATTAGCCAGAGACCCCGTTGGGCTACATCTGGCCGTGATCGGACTGGCAGCCTTTAGGCCCAAGGATGCAGACTGACAAAATGGGCCCTAGGGACACCCCCCCACCCCTTTCAGGTGACAGAATCCAGCCCCCTCCCCAGCCCCAGAGGAGGCCCACTTAAAATACCCCGCGCCCCCCCCTCTCCAAAAAGCAAAGGAAGTCAACACGCTAAGAACCCAGGCACTGTGAATAGAGCGGCTGACCATTATATGTCTATTTCTTGGCTTGCCACACAAAGGGTGGAGAGAGTCGTCCACCTCTCACGTCCCCGGCCCCATTAACGCAGGTTTTCTGAACAGAGTTTCCCCCAAAAGCACCGGAGGGGATTTCACACCCCCGTCGACTCGGGGGCAGGGAGGCCAATCCCCGGGGGGAGGCGAGGGGCCGGGCAGACGAAACAGCTGAGACAAGACCAAGCCATCGTCAGAACCCGAGGCAGCCACAGAAGAGCAAAGAATAGCAAAGATGCTGGCGGTAGATGGCACCGGGTCTCTCTCTCTCTCTCTCTCAATTCATTTATTGCATTTATATAATATATATTTATATATATATATTTAAACTTTTACAATAATTTTAACTTGATAACATCCAAGTTTAATTTGGTTCTTGTCTTGTTTAATACATATAAAATTAGACCTCTAAACAGCAATCGTTGGGGGGGGGGGGGGGTTGCTTTGAAAATCGAGAGATTCTCCTGAAGAGGAAGGGGAAAAAAACCAGGCGGCGGCTGTGTCGGCCGAGGTCAAACCTTCTCAACTTTACGCTCCGAGTTGTTGTTGCTCAGCGAGCGGCCGCCCTCCACAGCAGAGGCGGCTCTGGGGAGGGGGGGTCCTCTGTGCCTAGAGCGGCCGGGAAAAAAAACACACCAAAAGAAAGAAAGAACGGGGGGGGGGGAGAACC